AGAGCCATGATGGAGAATCATGGATATTCCTCAGCTTACACCAGGATTCTCTCTCCATACTGCCTGTGGCAGGGTGCCAACTTCTATCCTGGAGAAACCAATAATTTACATGGTCATTTAGCTAGAAGTCTAGTTTGTATGGAAATTTGGTATTCTTCAGTTTAGTGAAAACACCATCCTTATTATATAGTGTTTGATGATGTTTAAAAACATCCTTGTTACATGTTGTGATACAGTGTTTCATGTTCCAAAAACCAAGGCCTTTTCCTAGAAAATAATTTTTTGTGTCTCACATAAAAAGTGTAAGAACCTTTTGTTTATGTCTTGGGCATGCCTTGGACATCATAGATTTGTAAACTGGAAAACTGGACATAGAATCCATTTCTTATCATTTATTTTTTTAAGTGTTTTTAGAGACATCGAACAGTCTATGCTAAGCAGTCTGGTCATGCTGGAAGGTGAACTTTTACAAGTTTGAGGGGGAAAGGTGCACAGATTCTTTCTGAGGGGTTCCATATGTAACATTTAGGTACTAAAATTACCACTGACAGGTCACAGTATAAATTAAATCAGTCTTCTTCTTTATTGACTAGAGACTGCCCAGATAACACTTTAACGATTGCCTTTGAGTCTTCTAAACCAGACAATGCCTGTAACTATTTTAGGTCCCTTCTGGACTTTAGAACATTTCATATACATGGGACATTTGTTCAGCTTTCCTTGGAACATCAGCCTCATTTCTGCACCTCTACCACACTAGTGTTGCAGTGGTCTCACTCATCTTGCTGCCTCTATCCTGTCTCATACTGAAATCTGTCTCCCACACTCTACCTAGTGATCCTTAGTATCATCTTGTCTTTCCCCTGCCTAGAATCTTCAAAGATTATAAATCATTCTACTATAAGGACACATGCACACAAATGTTCATTGCAGCACAGTTTACAATAGCAAAGACCTGGAACCAACCAAAATGCCCATTGATGATAGACTGGACAGGGAAAATGTGGCACATATACACCATGGAATATTATGCAACCATCAAAAACGATGAGTTTGTGTCCTTTGTAGGGACATGGATGAACCTGGAAACCATCATTCTCAGCAAACTGACACAAGAACAGAAAATTAAACACCACATTTTCACTCATAGGCGGGTGTTGAACAGTGAGAACACATGGACACAGGGAGGGGAGCATCACACACTGGGGTCTGTTGGGGGGAAATAGGGGAGGGACAGCAGGGGGTGGGGAGCTGGGGAGAGATAGCATGGGGAGAAATGCCAGATATAGGTGAAGGAGTGGAAGGCAGCAAATCACACTGCCATGTGTGTACCTATGCAAGAATCTTGCATGTTCTCCACATGTACCCCAAAACATAAAATGCAATAAAAAAAAAAAGAAATAACTACATGTCCTTGTCCATGTGGTTTCTTTGATAGGTAAGCTCTTTACACTCTTCTTTTCCTGTTTAATTCTCACCCACCAAGGCTCACCATTGGCAACATCTATTCCTTAGAACTCTCATCCACCTTCCGCGTATGACCAAGTCCTCTTGATGGTGCTCATACGGCAACTGTAGCATGTTCAATAAATGACGTTCTGTGGGGTGGTGCAAGTGAAAGATGCAGATGATCAATTTGACAATAATTCTTCAACGTGTTCTTCCCCTAATGCCAAGTTAAACTAGACTGTTACAGACATACATTTTATTCTCAAGGTTACATTAGAGACATTGTTTCATAAACTAATCATTTTCTTTTTTTTAATTTTTTTTATTGCATTTTAGGTTTTGGGGTACATGTGAAGAACATGCAAGATTGTTGCATAGGTACACACATGGCAGTGTGATTTGCTGCCTTCCTCCCCATCACCTATATCTGTCATTTCTCTCCATGCTCTCTCTCCCCAACTCGCCACCCGCCACTGTCCCTCCCCCATTTCCCCCCGACAGACCCCAGTGTGTAGTCCTCCCCTCCCTGTGTCCATGTGTTCTCATTGTTCAACACCCGCCTATGAGTGAAAACTGTCATAAACTAATCATTTTCAAAAGCTTCTCTGGTAAGGTACATGATTAAAAGAAATGTTTGGACAACATTCACCATTGCTATAGTTTGTTCGCGTAACTTCTAAATTTTCCTTTCAAATTCCTTGCTTTGTATTGCACCACTAATTTACCTAATTTTATTCCAGTACTTTAGTTTACTGAGCTCTAATCAGCTACACCAAAATCTTTTAAAGTGCAATTAATAATCAAAAAAAGTCTGCTCCTGGTGAGAAAAATATGGAAGACTTCTGTGGTATCCAGCTACCCTGTATTACAGAGTGGATTACCGATTGGAACACTGTCTCTGCAAAGAGCCAGATTATAAATATTTCAGGCTTTGTAGGCCATATGGTTGCTGTCACAACTACTCAGTTCTGTAGTTATAACAGAAAAACAGCCATAGACAATAAGCAGAAAAATTAGCATGGTGATATTCCAATATAAGTTTATTTACAAAAACAAGCAGCTTGGGACCACAGTTTGCCAACACCCTGTGTCATTTGGAGACTTATTTCAGTCGAGGATTTAGTCACGCTCTATTCAGGTTCAGAAACATTTTCCAACTGCCCATGATCCAGAGGTAAACACTTTGAAGGCCACTCATACTGTACTATATAATGTACATTTATCAGAAGCAGAAGCTGAGGGAATAAAATTATGTAAGGCTCCATTTCCTTTTGTAACAACTCTCAAAGTTCAGCATAACAGGAGCTGCATCCAAGTGTTCCTGAAATTTCTTTCCTGTGAAATTTCTTGATGGTGAAGTTTCTTAACGGTGTTCTGGCACTAAACAACGAGCACTACAAATCATGTTCATGCTCTCGGCCAGTAGTATAATTTTCAGGAAATATCCTATGCCAACGACCCCAGGAGAACAAAATCAGTGTGATCAATGATATTTAGAAAAGACATGTTCATTAACATTAAAAATTTAAAGTAACCCAGTCAGGAAATGGACTGACAGCATGGAGGACTTTGGGAGAATCTTTTTTACGGCAATTGTGTGGAGTATATTGATCCTTGAATATATCACTTTGAAAATTACAAGGAAGAAACGTCCAATGGCAAAATATGTGTTTACACGATTTCAAACATGTAACAGTCAGAATATACAAATTATGTCATTCAATATTCAATATTTATTGAAGAAGAGTCTACTGTGACTCTTCTTCAATAAATACTGAATATTGAATGGCAAGTTTCTGATCTGAGAACCAGGAACGCAGGAGGGAATAAAGTGGACCAAACTTTCCGCCCTCTCATTTTCTCATAAGACAGAGATAGATATGGAGGATCAAAGGGATTTTAGCAATTGAAATACTTGGAATTTTAATATCATGGTTTGTTGGGGGCCAGAATTTGTCAAGTTCCTGGTATATATCAAGTACTCCTCCAGGCACAAAATACAGTGTGAACAAAACATGTACATACCCCTGCCCTGTTGTAGCTACATTCAATGGAGGCGACAGAACCAAAGGAAATAAGTAAAATATACAGAAGGTGACTCAGGGACAGGGGCAAAGGAGGAAATCAAGATATAAAATGCTGGGAGAAGGTGAACTTTTAGATTGCATGATCAGGAAGGATTTCTTGAGAAGCTGACTTTTGATTAACTAATTAAAGAAGATGAATGAACTGGCAAGGTGTAAGTTTGGGAGAAGGTCATTCTGGGCAGAGGGATTAGCAAGTGCAAAGACCCCAGGATGGGAGTGTGCCTGGAGTGGCCAAGAAACACCAGGGGGGCTGATGGTTGCATGGAGGAGTGAAGGGTGGAAGGAAATCAGATGAAGAGGTAACAGCAGAACAGTTGCATCCCACCTTTTAAGACATTGTATGGATGTTGGTTTTTAATCTGAAAAACAAGAAGACATTGGAGAGTGTGGAGCAAAGGGGAGAGATGGTCAGTTTGCATTAAAACAGTTTCTGCTATTGAGAGTTAACAACAGATACAGGGAGGCTTTTAGGAGGCTGCTGCAATAATCCAGGTGACAAATGATGTCATCTCAAGAGGAGCATCTCAAGACATGGAGACATTGAGAGAAAGATAGAATAGAGGTGTGGTAAGAGCCAGTGTTCCCACTGCCAGGGCCCACCTGCCACAAAGGGTGAGACAAGTCAGGTGCATTCCTTACTGTTGCTTTATTCCCAGCAGGTGGCACAGGGAGGAGTTTCTAGGCAAGAAGGCACTGGGTCACTCACCAGCACATCTGTTCTCAGATCTTGATACCCAGCTGGAAGGCGGGGGGGGGGGGGGGGGGGGGGGAGGAAGAGGGATCCTCCCCTACAAGCTTTCCAGGCCATAGCCTGCCATTCCCAGCTGTGTGGGGCAGGCCTGGAGAGGAGCACCCCTGCCAAAGTAACGATAAGCCTTTGCTCACTGTGGCTTCACTCACCCAGCTGGGATCTTTGACTTCTGTGGTTGCCTTTAATGCTCTAAACAGCCCCTGCAAGTAGGACAGATCACCTTCATTTCACAGCTGTGGAAATTCAGGGAGACTAAGTGGCAAACACACATGTGGAGAGCTGGGGCACTGGTGTCCCATCCCATGCTCTGGGCACACAGGAGGGAGTAATGTGTAGAGAGGCAGTATCAGGCACAACCACGTTCTTAATTTAGGTTGGTTTTAAATGTTGAAATACGTGAAGGAATATGAAATCACATTTATGTTTCGTGGCTGCCTCCTGCTACAGAACACTCTTTTCACGATTCTTGTCCTGAATCATTTTCCGACATTTTCCCACCTTTGGTTATTTATTTATGAATTGGCACCTTCAACATTTGTTGATGTTTAAAGAATGCTTCCATTTCCAATGAACTATGTCAAAGTGACAGAGTAGTAAAAATTCCATTAAACCATTTCTTTCTATGTCAAACCTTTATAAAAGTACCGTTACCACCTTTTACTGTTAAAAAGCCTAAGACTGATTGTAATTGAACTTTTTATTGTTATTTTTAGGGAACAACTTAATTCTTTATTGAAGACCTATAACATTTTTTATAAGAACCAGAAAAATCTGCATATTTTATATGGAGAGGTAAGCTCATTGAAGAAAGGCAATCCAGTTTTATTCACACACACGCACCCAATTCTGGAAGAAACAGGTGAAAGTTTAACTTGATTATGATTCTTATTTTTAGGCTTGGGCTTGGAACACTTGTGACTTTCTAAGCAGTTTTGAGATAGAAAACATTTAAAAATTTTAATGACATTTTCTATTTTAAAAATAGAGTACGAATATTTTTAACAGCATTTCCACTGAAGATTTGTCACAATACTTTCTTACAAATGCACCAAAATGTATATAGAAAGATATATATGTGATTATTTATATTTTAATTCAAAAGTTTCAGCAAAATTCATGATGTTAAATTTGTTTTCTTTAGGTAAATGTTTGAGTTTTGGTGTTATGACCATTTAAGTTGAGGCATATACTTTTCAATTCTGTACATCAGTGCATTATTTATAATACAAAAGTTTTTTAGGCCAGGCGCAGCAACTCATGCCTATAATCCCAACACTTTGGGAGGCCGAGGCGGGCAGATCACCTGAAGTCAGGAGTTCGAGACTAATCTGGCCAGAAACCCTGTCTGTACTTAAAAAATATGAAAACTACCTGGATGTAGTGGTGCATGCCTGTAATCCCAGCTACAGGGGAAGTGGAGACAGGAGAATCACCTGAACCCAGGAGGTGGAGGTTGCAGTGAGCCAAGATCACACTACTGTACTCCAGCCTGGGCAACAGAGGAAGACTCTGTCTCCAAAAAAAAAAAAAAAAAAAAAAGTTATTTAATTTTTAAAAATAGTTTCATGTTTTATATAATTTTTAAAGCTGTATGAAGTGATGTGTACATTGAGGCTATCAGACTTTTCAATCTTTACACACTGGTCAATAAAGTCATAATTCAGAATTTTTCAAATCTTCTGACACTGTTTAAAAGGGGCAGTCCATGGATGACAATATGTAGCTTTATTCATCTGTGATTAACCAATCAATTAATGAAACAAATATTTATTGAGTGTCTACCATGTACCAGATACCATTTCAAAAGCTGGAGATATAGCAATGAAGAATTTAACAACCTCAGCAGAGTAGAGTAGAGGTGTTTTTTTTTTTCAGAGTTTCTATGAATTTTTGATACAAAGGCTTAATTGAGTTCTAGTTAGGCACAGAAAGAATGCTATCCACCATTAACTAAACTATATAATCTATATTACGCACGGTCATTTCAAAGAACAAATTGTGTTTGGTTGCTGAAAAAGATTGATTGGTAACTAACCTCTTAGTAATCTGAAATGTAAATCTAAAGTGGAAGAAGTGCAAAACTTTGTTTCAGGAGTGATTCCAAAGGAAGTTTATCAGCCAAAGAAACAATAAACAGTAATATAGAGCACCTATTGAATTCCAGGTGCTATGAATTGAGAATTATCATAATGTCTGTTTTTCAGGTAAGAAAACCCAATCTTAAAGGTGGCCAGCAACTTGTCCAAGGCCACAGCTAGGAAGTGGCAGAGCCAGGGTTTGAGCACAGGTCTGTGTGATCTCAGTCTGGAGTTTTCATTACGCTCTCAAATAAGAATTGAGTTATTAAATGCTTTCTAACGATCGATTTTTCATAATATTAATAATAGCTAATGGATATTAAAATAGATATTTTGTTGCTGGCATATGACTTTTGTTAGTTTCTGTATTTTCCAAAGCTTTTATAACAGAAATCATTACTTTAACATTGGAAAATGACTTTGAGATATATATATATACAATGACTATTTATACTTTAATTCAAAAGTTTCCACAAAATTCACAATGTTAAGCTTGTTTCCTTCTTCTATTATACTATATTTCTAATTTTAAAGAAATTCTTCAAATGCTGTTGTTTTTACAAAAATATCCTATCTAGTCAGGTGCGGTGGCTCATGCCTGTAGCACTTTGGGAGGCTGAGGCGGGCAGATCATGAGGTCAAGAAATTGAGACCATCCTGGCCAACTTAGTGAAACCCCATCTCTACTAAAAATACAAAAAAAAAAAAATTAGCTGGGCGTGATGACGTTTGCCTGTAGTCCCAGCTACTCGGGAGGCTGAGGCAGGAGAATCGCTTGAACCCGGGAGGCGGAGGTCGCAATGAGCCAAGATCACACCACTGCACTCCAGCCTGGTGACAGGGTGCGACTCCGTCTCAAAAAAAAATCATGTCCATAATATTTTGAATTTTACAGCATGTTTTCACATATATTATTTTACTTGTTCTGCATAACTTTGTGAGTTAAATTTTTTTCTGTTCAGAAATGAGGAAATAGCTGCTAAATCTTTAAATAGTTTTTTTTCTGATTTCTAGTTCATTACAGTTTTTAAATTTGCTTTAATTTTAAATTAAACAAAATTAGAGAATTAAAATTCCACTTAATTGAAAAATCATAGAGTTCAGAAAGTGTTTTAACATACTGTGCCCTCTGGTGGACATGCCATTACCATTTTGATTTACTTACTTTGCTGGGTATCACTGTTTCCAAAAAATAAAAGAATGTTTTAAAAATAGAATCGTTTTGTAGATAAAGTGGAAAGCCAAACAATACCCTTGGGATTTCTTTTTAACCTATTAAGGTTTCTTATGCACTTAATTTCTACATTTTCAGTTAAAATATTTACTTGCTGTAAATAATACAAAAACAATCTGGGGGATTATTGATTTCTTCCTTAGACTGAAGATGGCAAACTAATGGTGGAAGGAATGCTGGACATCTTCTGGGGAGTAAAACGACCTATACAGCTAAAAATACAAGATGAGAAGCCATTCTCTTCTTTTACCACGATGAAGTTATCAGATGTCTTCTCCAGCAAAGGGTAAGCTATTTTTCATGTTTTTAATTCCTCAGAAGATCATCTTCATATCTAGTTTTATTGTGTGCATTCTTAATGAGGGAAACTTAGGCTTCTGTGGAAATGATCATACACAATCTCACTTTATTTCCTGGCAACTCCATTAAGTAGGTGTTTAGAAACCAGGTTCTTCAAGATTAGTTACTTTGTACAAGATCTGCAATTACAATGTGGCAGAACTGGACTGGACCTTACTGCTGTCTGGGCTCCACAGCCTGAGGTCTTGACTCTACTCTGTTACTTCTTTGCTGGAGACTGTATTCCCTCATTGAAAAAGACAAAATATAAAGGCAGAATTTTATTTACCCTGGCCTGGTTTCTAAAATAAGAGAATAAAATCTAAATGTCTTATTTCCTTGGAACAAAGGGCTCATCATGCTTTGTACCAGGGAAACTTAATGATGCTCCATCTGATTGTCCCAATCCTTTTCAACAGAGTACCCAAAAATGCATTTGAAATTAAATAAATGAACTAAATAGTCCTCTGTGTGAGTTTATGCAAGTGTACCTTGGATATCCAGGTTGGGCTAACCTTTTCCTTACTCTCTTACAAGTTTTAGAAAAATTAATAAATATCCCTAGCAAGAATCATACCTATATAAAAGTTCCTTTCATCTTTTTTTCTATCCCTTCTTTTTTAGTCCTTTACTCTCCAGCTTAACCCACTTTGTATATACCTTGAGATACCAAGCCTTCTTTTCATACTATTTATCCTCCCATCCATTGTTAGATGAGCTGGCATCCTATCAGAGGAGACAATGGAGAAAGAGCTGCCAGGACAATTTACCCAATGTGATCTTTGGCCACAACTAAGGAAAATCAGTTATCACCTTGACAGAAATCTGCTTTTCATTTGGAAAAAAATATTTAAGCACTACTATGATTTTCACCTTGCCAATATTTCTCAAACATTATGCTACTGCCATGCTGAATGTTTTGTAATTCCCTACACATTTCATGTAATTTCTAATTTTCCTGACTCTACCTGGAAGTCCACCTGCTTCTCCACATCAATTTGCCTGACTGCCCTCCAACAATCCTTTAAGACTCAGCTCAGATAACATGTTCTCTAGAATGCAATTTCTGACCCCTCAGTCTATACTAAGTGCACTGAAAACTTTTCTATATCATTTGACACACATGCAGTCAATTTTATTTTTGTATACTTGTCTCCTTGTCTATAGTGTAAGCTTTTTGGTGGTAGGGAATGTGCTTTATTCATCTTTGCATCTCAGTGCTAAACTGTGTGCCTGGCACAAAGAAGAGATTCAAAACATAGAACAGAGTAAAATCCCCAGAAGCCTGTCGTTAAATTACGTCTGCTTTGTTGTGACTATTTGGTCCCTCTGTCTATCTTGTGTCTCCCATCCAAGCTAAGGATTACCAATGAAGTTAGGGCTCAGAGCCTAAGGAAGAACAGAAGGGAGGCTGCAGGCTGAGGCAGACTGAGAAAGCCCCATATTTCTCACTTCAGGCACCTGATGACTGATAGGGCTGATGATTCTAAATAACCAGGAGCATCATTTAAAAGGAAAAATTACTCACGGGATCTGCTTTTGGGAAACTGTGTAAGATATGAATTTACAAAATTAACTATCATACTTTATATTACCTAAGACTTCGTTGCAAAATTCTCTGAACAGCCACATCTGTTTGATGTATTTTAATTTTTTAATTCATGAAAATGTAATAAATATCAAACATTAAAGGAAAATGTCAAAGAGATGAAATAAGGTAATTGTAGTATCACCTTAAGCCATCATTATTTTGAATGGCTTTACCAAGAGATGTTCTAAGTTTTATTTTATTTTTAATTGACAAATAATCATTCTATACATTTATGGAATACGACGTTTTATGCATATATGCATTGCAGAATGAACAAAACAGCTTAATTAACATATCAATCATCTCAAATATTTATCTTTTTTGCAGTGAGAATAGACAATATAAAAACTTCTCTCCTTTAACTCTTTTGAAATATACAATGTTATTATTAACCAAGATATTTTTTAAGTTCTCAAATGTAAAAACCCATGTTCCTAGCAGTTCTGAATTTTTGAATGAGTTTCAAGAACCCAAGTGGACAAGGTAATATGCCTCTCCATATACTGCCACAGGTTCTAAAATAATATCCTCGGGATACTATTTTAGAATAGTACCTGCTGTAGGATCCATTTACATTTTACATTGTTTATTAGTATATTGCTGTGAAACAAACAGGAATTGGCTCTCTTTTTGTTTAAAGTTGAGAAAAATTACCTAGAAACCTTCATCGGCTTGTCCTTTTCCAAAGTAACAAGACTGACCATAGAACATTTGGCAAAAAAAGATTCCATTCCTTATACATACACACAGAGCCACATGCACACAAGAACAAGAGTAGATTTGGTTGTCATTAATTCGCCAAGAATATTTCCTGGGAGCCAGCTGAACATTCAGGCAGGAAGGCATAGCATAATTGGAAATGGCTTTTCCCCGGCTTCTGCTTTGCTAATGGGCTAAGGTATCATTTTTGTTGTTGTTTCAATCCAATCCTAGACACCCTCCCTCTGGGTGTTTCATTTAAGATAACATCCATTTAAATTCTCAACCTTTAATTGTGAAAAGAAATTGACTATATCCTTACTCTTAGACTTCTCCTGTTTTCTTTTTCCCACATTGGGCATCTCTGGGCAAAACTTTTACCTCTGCTCTTGCAAGATGACAGATTTTATATCTGCAGCAGGTAAACGTGGAGTAAATGACACGGAACTTCAGCCGCAGGAAGGGCTGTAATCTTGTGTCTTTCAGTTCACTCTTTGAGAGAATCATTGGTCTTGTCACATTAGTTTGCTTTAATTATGTTTGAAATGAATCACATAGAGGAAGTATGAGCTTAATTAGAGTGAAGAAGCTTTTTAAAAAATCAGCTTATTTGAGCTCTGACCACTTGTTACCCTTTATGGAAACAATTCTATGGGCAGTGCTTTGATCTCTCATATCTGGTACAAGTGTTTTGGAAGTCTTTCATTAACAAAAGAAAAGAACAGCCTTGTTAAGGTTGTATTTGCTTACACTATTTTTCACTTCTGTTTTTAATCTTTCCAAACTCAGCTTTTGCATATTTTGGACAAGTCATGGCACAATAACATAAAGAGCACGAACTGGACAGGTGTACATTTGAATAATGTCAGTGGTGGTTTTTTTTTCTTACAATATGGGAGGGAAGTGACCATATTCTATTTGTCTATCAAAACTCTACCTCCTTTTTATTTTTAAACTCTTCAGAAAACCTCCCCACAGTTTAAATTTGCAAATGACCATACATCCTGAACTTTGGTCAGAGCAACAGAAGTCTCATGTTTGGGCAAGTTAAACTATTTGATATTACATTAAGTTCCAACCAGTTTTCTCTTGAAAACTCTGGATAACTGCCCTAGAGCTTAGTCATGTGCACAGTTGCATGGGGTGACGCTTCAAATTACACAATCCAGAGCTGAAAACTGGTGTTTTCTGCTGTTGAAGGTGGAAAAGATAAGGGGCCAAACACAGAATATATTAGACCACTTCTGGCAGCCTGTATTTGTGTGACAACTCTAAGCTGTTACGTCTGCCAGGAATTTGCCCAGCATCCCAGGGATTCTTATCTTTAGCCTTATGAAATAACATCACATTACTTTGCATTTTTTGGTTTCTGTTTTTCATTGGTATTGCCTTTTCCATTGCTAACCTTCTTTCTATGATAATTATACTTGCCACTTTCTGATTATTAAGCTCCTAATAGATTGGGGGAAATGGATAATTTTATCTGCCATAAGACTAATTAGATTCTGAGTTAGGAACTGGTAGTTTTTCTTTGAGCTAAAGTTATTACCTACAGTTGGGCTTTATAACATTTGTTTGGATTTGCTGTATTCTGAAATTAACAAATATATTAGGATTACTTTCTGTACTTCATAAGGCTATTGCGAGACTCAAGTGATATAATAACCATAAAACAGACTTCAAAAGAATTCAAAAGTAAAGAAGAAAGGGGATGATTTTTTTCATATTCACTGCCATTACTTTTTGTTGCCACCAATGACATTTGGGAAGAGTCAGTGCCACAAATTCCCTATAACTGAATATATTTTAGTCATAAGGAAAACAAACATTATTGAGGAGACTCTTAAATAATAGCAACCATTTGTCTAGAAATATCTAGGAACACTTTGGGTTGCCAGTGGTTCCTAGCCCATCAGGAATGAAATGGATAGAGATGCTGGTGATGATGATGATGATGATGACAATGGAGATGAGGATGATTATAATTATTTTTAATCCATATTGAATGCTTACCATTTTCGAGCACTGTTTCAAGAATTTTATAGAAATTAACTCTTTCCAACCTCACGACGACCCTATCCTACTTCATACCATTATCATTTCCATTTTACAGATGAGGACACAGGCACAGAGAGAATAAGAAAGTTGTTTGAGACCTGATAAATAAAATAAAATTGAGTTTTGACCTGCTGTAAAAATAAACACTTGTCAGGTTTCATTTGTTCTGAGCACTAGAATGCGCTTAAAATTGTTAGTTTCTCTGTGAAATATTAATTTTCTGGCCAAAATGTCTCATACATTTTCCTTCTTTGTAAACTACATTCTTCATGGTCATCAAGGGCCTTAAAAGACAGGCCCCATATTTTCTCATTTTAGAGCCACTCTACCTAACAATGTTTTGAATGCAATAGGTACTCAATACATATTGACAGAATGTATAAAAATAATCTTATATCTAAACTCTCCTAAGAGTATTATCCAATATCTTGTAACAATTGATCATCTTGGTTTCTGCCAATTCAATTTGAACATATGTTTTACAGAATCTATATAATGTGCACTTCAGTGTGTAACTGAATTATTATATCAAGAAGACGTGCTCTGTAAAAGTAGAGGAAGTATTTAAAATACATACTGACCACTTTGGTATGAATATAATTTTAATATCATAAAATTGTTATAACTTTGGATGATATATCCACCTACAGAGGCCCACAGTATTACTATATTAATATTGTAAATCTAGAAACCATCATAGACTTCAATATGAATGGAACTGATGTTACTTACAAGATTTCTTACTTTTCAGAATGACACGCTGGGGGGAATTTGATGATCTCTATCGTATTGGCGAGCTGGACAGGACCCAGATTCCAATGTCTGAAACAAGGAATTTCCAGGAAGGTCAGTATCAAAATCTTATTAATTGGGAGAATTAGTTTTTAATTAATGTAAAATATGACCCTATATACTTCCCTGAAATCTAACGTTTTTCATACCACTACACAATAAACTCTTATTTTATATGTACATATATTTTTTAAATGTCTTAGGGGCATAGTAACTTAAGTCACTGTAGTGCTTGTATGATGTTTAGGAAACTTACTTTGGTATATAAAATGTAATTTTAAAAGCAATTATATTAAGTCACTTAGATTTATTAGAATAGGGAGAGTTAATAGTTTTAATAAAGTTTGTATTCATAAAATTGTCCAGTATTTTCCCCAAAGATTAGAATCATTTATCATTCTCAATACCTGCATATGTTAGAGCAAGCCCGTCAGACCTAATTATATATCTTTTTAGAAGCTGAACATTTTAGTTAGTTAACAGATATTTAAATAACTTCTCAGAAAGACACAGATATATTGGAGTCAATTTTATATTTGATGAAGTTATTTCAAAGATATTTTTTATTTTTTTATTTTTTTAATTTTTTCCCCATTTATTTATTTTATTGCATTTTAGGTTTTGGGGTACATGTGAAGAACATGCAAGATTGTTGCATAGGTACACATGTGGCAGTGTGATTTGCTGCCTTCCTCCCCATCACCTACATCTGGCATTTCTCCCCTTGCTATCTCTCCCCAGTTCCCCACCCCCCACCGTCCCTCCCCTATTTCCCCCCAACTGACCCCAGTGTGTAGTGCTCCCCTCCCTGTGTCCATGTGTTCTCATTGTTCAACACCCGCCTATGAGTGAGAACATGCGGTGTTTGATCTTCTGCTCTTCTGTCAGTTTGCTGAGAATGATGGTTTCCAGGTTCATCCATGTCCCTACAAAGACCCAAACTCATCGTTTTTGATGGCTGCATAATATTCCATGGTGTATATGTGCCACATTTTCCCTATCCAGTCCATCATTGATGGGCATTTGGGTTGGTTCCAGGTCTTTGCTATTGTAAACAGTGCTGCAATGAACATTCGTGTGCACGTGTCCTTATAGTAGAATGATTTGTAATCCTTTGGATATATACCCAGTAATGGGATTGCTGGGTCAAATGGAATTTCTATTTCCAGGTCCTTGAGGAATTGCCACACTGTCTTCCACAACAGTTGAACTAATTTACACTCCCACCAACAGTGCAAAAGTGTTCCTATTTCTCCACATCCTCTCCAGCATCTGTTGTCTCCAGATTTTTTAATGATCGCCATTCTAACTGGCGTGACATGGTATCTCAATGTTGTTTTGATTTGCATTTCTCTGATGACCAGTGATGATGAGCATTTTTTCATGTTTGTTGGCCCCATGTATGTCTTCTTTTGTAAAGTGCCTGTTCATATCCTTTGCCCACTTTTGAATGGGCTTGTTAGTTTTTTTCTTGTAAGTCTGTTTTAGTTCTTTGTAAATTCTGGATATCAGCCCTTTGTCAGATGGGTAAACTGCAAAAATTTTTTCCCAATCTGTTGGTTGCCAATTCACTCTAATGACTGTTTCTTTTGCTGTGCAGAAGCTATGGAGTTTGATTAGGTCCCATTTGTCTATTCTGGCTTTTGTTGTCAATGCTTTTGGTGTTTTGGTCATGAAGTCCTTGCCTACACCTATGTCCTGAATGGTCCTGCTAGATTCTCTTCTAGGGTTTTTATGGTGTTAGGTCTTATGTTTAAGTCTTTAATCCATCTGGAGTTAATTTTATTGTAAGGTGTCAGGAAGGGGTCCAGTTTCTGCTTTCTGCACATGGCTAGCCAGCTTTCCCAACACCATTTATTGAACAGGGAATCCTTTCCCCATTGCTTGTTTTTGTCAGGTTTGTCAAAGATCAGATGGTTGTAGATATGTTGTGTTGCCTCCAACACCTCTGTTCTGTTCCATTGGTCTATATCTCTGTTTTGGTACTAGTACCATGCTGTTTTGATTACTGTAGCCCTGTAGTATAGTTTGAAGTCCAGTAGTGTGATGCCTCCCGCTTTATTCTTTTTGCTTAGAATTGACTTGGCTATGCGGGCTCTCTTTTGGTTCCATATGAAGTTTAATGTGTTTTTTTCCAGTTCTGCGAAGAAGGTCATTGGTAGCTTGATGGGGATAGCATTGAATCTGTAAATTACTTTGGGCAGTATGGCCATTTTCACCATATTGATTCTTCCTAACCAGGAACATGGAATGTTTCTCCATCTGTTTGTGTCCTCTCTTATTTCGTTGAGCAGTGGCTTATAGTTCTCCTTGAAGAGGTCCTTTATGTTCCTTGTTAGTTGTATTCCTAGGTATTTTATTCTCTTTGTGGCAATTGTGAATGGAAGTTTGTTCTTGATTTGGCTCTCTTTAAGTCTGTTATTGGTGTATAGGAATGCATGTGATTTTTGCACATTGATTTTGTATCCTGAGACTTTGCTGAAGTTGCTTATCAGTTTCAGGAGATTTGGGGCTGAGATGATGGGGTCTTCTAGATATACAATCATGTCGTCTGCAAATAGAGACAATTTGACTTCCTCCTTTCCTGTTTGAATGCCCTTTATTTCTTTTTCTTGCCTGATTGCTCTGGTTAGAACTTCTCATACTATATTGAATAGCAGTGGTGAGAGAGGGCATCCTTGTCTGGTGCCACATTTCAAGGGGAATGCTTCCAGTTTTTGCCCATTCAGTATGATATTGGCTGTTGGTTTGTCATAAATAGCTTTTATTATTTTGAGATACGTTCCATCAATACCTAGCTTATTGAGGGCAGAGACTCAACAAGAAAAGAAAACTTCAGGCCAATATCCATGATGAACATAGATGCAAAAATCTTCAATAAAATACTGACAAGCCGATTGCAACAGCACATCAAAAAGCTTATCCACCATGATCAAGTAGGCTTCATCCCAGGGATGCAAGGCTGGTTCAACGTACGCAAGTCTATAAACGTAATTCACCACATAAACAGAACCAAAGACAAAAACCACATGATTATCTCAATTGATGCAGAGAAGGCCTTTGACAAAATTCAACAGCCTTTATGCTCAAAGATATTTTTTAAAAGATAAATACATTGAAGGATCATATGGATTCATACTGAACTTGCCAAACCAATGGGAAATGCCAGCTCCAGTGATGTGTGACATTAGTAATTGTAATCATAATGGTGATGATGTGAGAGTAATAATAATGATATTGATAGCTGTAATCTGTTGAGACTCTCCTAAGTATCAGGCATGATATTTTGTAATTTATATGAATGTTTTCATGTAATTCTCATATATACATCAGATTCAAAGCAGATGCTGGTGACTGAAGCTAGAGTGAGGGGTGGTGGACAGGGTTCACGTGCCTGAAATGGGGCTATGATTTACCAAGTCAGTTCAGTGTGAACAAGGGTATCCCACTAGCATTAACTTCATAAGCCTACCAGCAACTTCCAATATTTGTTTTCTTTTTGTTCATGTGATTCTCAATTCTGCCTCCTCTCCTGCTCCACAAGAACCCAGATCCTATGACAAACATGATGTTCCTTCCAGGGTTCTCTTATCTTTGTCTCATGGGATCTTTACATCTTGTTGTATATGGGCCCTTCCAATTATCCTTTTTAAAATATCTATTAAACCTAAGGAAATCCCAGTATTTTGGCATCAAATATATCATAAAAATCTACTTGTATTTAAACACCAGTGCTAGAGAAGGGAGAAATATCTCTTTCCTATTTAATGACATTCTAATTACAATTGAAAATTATTTAAAATCCTAAAGTAAAATAAAACACAAATGCCACCAAATGGTCTTATTCTTACATATGAATATGCACAGTAGAGGAAATTGTAAAAGGTACTATCAACTGGATACAAGCAGAAAGGGGACCAGAAGGTAAGTTTGAATATTCTGCATCTTAGGCTAGTAACACATTGTAACTCAATTCAGTTCCATTTAAACATCTGCCTACGCAATAGGCACTAGAGCTGATCAATGCTACACTATAATTTTATACTCTAAAATCTGCTGTAGAAATTGTAATAATTTAATAATCAAATTTTGACTAATAAATTATGAATCATTGTTGAATATACATGACTCAATGAGAAGAAATAATAAGATAGTGGGCAACTAAGGTAAAAAGTTATTCATATCATACTTCTGGAATGTTCTAAAAAGAATATAATATGAATTATCTTTGTGATATATTACTATTAATAGTAGGCACTAGTCCAAAGCATACTATTCATTTTGCTTTTACAAATGATGGGGAAGAAAATCTTTCAATGCTCGATATGCCATGTAAATGGCTTCTCAAAGAGCTTTCTGTAGTTTTATAGGAAAACTAAGGCCCAATGTTTATTTTTCAAGGGAAGAGCCAATGAACTTGGAGCCAAAGTGTAATATGGATCCAGACCTGATTCTATCATAAGTACCATGTCCATAGGAAAGCCACTTCAACTCACTGTACTTTTCTTACCTATAGGAGATTAGACTGATAAAGTATCAGGTTTATTCTGGCTCTAACATTCGGAAATGCCATGAAATGCACCCCCCAATAAATTAAGATTAAATGAATCCCCAAACCCCAAATATGGTAATTGTAATCATTTCTTATAAAACATAAGAATGAGACATAAAAATTTTATATGAGATACCAGCAGAATTTGCTATCTGAGTCAGTCTCAAGCAACATTTAATAAGTAAATATACAGCTAAGCAGTGGACTATAATGCTTTTACACAGCCAGAAAATAGCAATATTCCTAAAATTAATAGCATACACAAATCCACTCAGGATGCTAGGAGACAAACAGCTAATTGATATGAGCTTATAATCTGTATTCTTCCCAGACTATTTATCTTATGACATCAGCACCCTGAAGCCACATGCAGAGGATGAACCAGACTCCCCAATGCTCTATAGAACCATGAGTGAGGCAACCCTCGTGAGAAAAAGGATGAAACCTCCGATGATGGACAGAAAAGAAAGACAGAAAAATAGGGCCTCTATTAACGGACACTTCTATAACCATGAAGTAAGTGAGTTATAATTCCATTAATGTAATACAAAATAAGGTTGCCTATTTCACTAACAATACCACTCAATTCAATTTGCAATTTAAATTCATAATAATAATAGTAGTAGCATGTCTAACATTTTGGGGCACTCTCTATGTGCTAGATATTAAACTAAATCTTTTAAATTGATTTTTACTGAATTATCTTATTAATCACTAAAACAACCCTGTGAAATATATACCATTATTTTCTCTACTTGACATATAAGCTAATTGAGGCTTATGGAGATTAAGCAATTTGTCTTAGATTATACTTCCTTTAAGCAGTAACTCTCAACCTGAATGCAGCTTTGTCTGACTCCAGAACACAAGTTTTTAACCATCATGATGTGTGAACTTTATCTAAGTGGCAGACACTGTGCCAAATATTAAAAATATGCAGATGAGGCATCTGATGTCTTAGCCAGCATTGAGCTCAGGGATTGAGCAGGGAAACCAACATACCAGCAATAATATTGGAATCATGTAAGTGTTACAAAGAGGTTGGATCAAAAGACATTTGATCATTAGCATTTAAATAAAAGGAAAAAGCTGCAGGCCAATTTATTCCCATAAATCGAACTTCTCATGTTGCCATGTTGCCTTCCAGGTCTTTTACCTGTACACACATTCTTTTTATACAAGTTTAGTTGTCGTTTAGATACAATTCACATTCTGATTTTTCATTTAATACGTGTTAAATTTATATGTGCCTTTCCGTAGTGCTTGCAAGACATTACGTTTTGCTGAAGCAGGAAATATATCATCATTTTTTCCAGAATTCAAATGTTTTTCATGTGATGTACCTTAGCAATCATTCATTGCTCCATCTCATAAATACTTAGCACTTACAGTGTGATAGCTATCCTCTGAGGCCTTTAATAAGAAATCTGAATTCATTTCTTTGTAGGCTTTCTCCTGTAAGGATTTCCACCTTATTTCCTCCTTCTTCTTCTACTCTTGGGAGAGTATCGATAGTGGGTGTTTGGGGTCTGGTGGGAGAAACCTCTCTTCTCAATTCTTTATTCATATCAGAATTTTCTGGCTCCAGAATTATCCTGATAGCTATAAAGTAGCATTCATAGTCCCCCATGGGCAGGCAGCTACCAGCTGTCCCTGTTCTCTCTTCTCAGAAATCATGTCGCATTTCATTATCTTGTGGGGTAATTTGTGCTGAAGAAGGAAAGCCACATTGCTTTAAGCAAGTGGTTTTCAGATTGGATCACTTGTGCTGAAAATAAAATTGACACTAGGTTAGCAGCACAGGATGGTGGTTAAAAGCTTGGGCCCGGGAGCTTGACAGCCTGGTTTTACGTTCTTGCTGAGCAAGTAAGCTTAAAACCTCCTCCATCTCTTGGTCTTAGTTTCTTCATTCTTCTTACTTTACAAGATTATTGATGAGATGGAATGAAATGGGGTAAATTAAGGATAAGAATAGTATCTGGCGCAAAAGAAGAACTCAGTTTACATTAGCTTATGCTGTTGACTGAATAAGCTCAAGCTGGGACTGTAGATATTTTACACAAATGTCATTCACTGCAATTTAATAACTAGCAAAAAACAATACAAACAAAAAAGAAAAAACAAAGCATTCTATCAACAATTATACAATGATGGGCATCAAGGAATTTTAGTAGTTATGTTTCATAAGTTGCTGCACATCATAAGATGTTTTTATACTATGAAACCCTTTTTAATGCCAATATTGTTAGGCTATGAATAACACACATATTAAAGGCTTACATTATGATATCTGGAGATCAGTTATGGTGAATATGACTTAACTAGTAGTATATTTCTATCCATGCAATAATAAATGATAACAGGTTTCATTATGCATTTTGACCAACACAACTGCTATAAAGACTACAAATTTAAAATACTGCTCTGAAAAGCATGATTCCAAATTCACTATATGTTGACATTTTAAAAGGACTCTTAGAGATTAGTCCTACTCTTATTTTATAAATGAAATCATTTATTAAATATATGTTAAGTGAGTCAGTAAAGATGTTAAGTGAGTTGACAAAGTCGGAGTTAGTGGATAGTTAGTGGGCACTAAATTCTAGGTCCTGCATGCTAATCTATGTTATTATCATACTACATGAAGCTTCACATAAACAACATCAAACCACATGTACAACACACTCTCACCTTAGTGCAGGATGAACACGTGGTTTTCCATAGAGCTTGTAAGTGTCACAGAATAATTCATCCATGCTCTAAAATGTCTACAAACATTGATTTTTTATACTTAAAAAATTTTATCCTAGTCACTCTCCTCACATCTTTTCAGAAAACTTATTTACATATCCATATTTTTATTCAAACAAATGCCATGTGTGTATGTGTGTTATATGAGTGTGGGTGTTATATATGTGTGTGTTTTATACTTGGATGTTAATTTGCTGATCTCTCAATATAGGACTCATCTTTCTAACATTCCAATGAGCCACCCCAAAACCCACCCATCTCCACATCTGCTGAACCCACCTCATTTCTACAGAGTCATGGAATACTTGGAGATTGTGCATGTAAATAAAATATGTGGAAATAAATCTTTACTTAATATTTCTATCTATTTCTTAAATACACATATGGTGACATTTTTTTCTTACTTTCTGCTACATAATCAGTAAAATATTTTCCCTCTCTTCTGCTCTGGTACACATGGAACTGGATTTTCTCCACCATGAATGTCATAAGTTACACATATACCATCAACTAACCCACTGTGAGTCTCCACTCACTGTTGCTTCTCTTCTTAAATTTCAGCGTATATCATTTGTATCCCAGAATTTAAAATTAATTTTGCCTACTTATGACTGTTATGATAATTAAATTAGTTAACATTTATAAAGGGTTTAGAAAAATTCTTGGTACATAGGACTATGTTAAGTCAATAAATATTTGAGAATTCTGTGACATTCTTTGGAATAATATCATCACTTTCAAGAATTATATAATCTTCCCACTGATCAGCAATGTACTTACATATTAACTTGCCTAAACAGACAGTTCAGCCCTTGCCTAAGCACAAACACATCTTAATCTCTGTATAGATTTTTAACCCAGAAATACATGTATTCATTCCTTGGTACCTGTGGGGAATTGGTTTCAGGACTCCCTCACCCTCCTGCAGATATCAAAATTCACAGATACTCAAGTACCTTATATAAAATGGCATAATATTTGCATATGTCCCACACATATCTGTAGTTATATTTAATTTATTTTGAAATCCTGAACTGCACTAAAGAGGGATGTAATTGCCCGGTGAAAATGTTATAAACATCCTCAAATGGTGTTTTACCTAATTTACTCTAGAAATAATATAAAGCTGCTTAAAAGGACATATAATATCCAACAACAACAAAGAAGAACAAACAAAAACAAATTTTTAAATGGATGACCTTGGATTTTTTTTTTTTGCCCTGTAAGAAGACAATGTTCAAGATCTACTGTCAATACAATATAATTTTAAAGACTTATATGACGATTCTTTTTCTAGACATCAATTTTCATTCCAGCCTTTGGATCAGAAACTAAGGTCAGAGTAAACAGTAACATGAGAACTGAAGAAGTAATAAAGCAACTTCTCCAAAAATTTAAGGTAACCTTTATCACTTAACTGAGCTATAAGTATCTTATATATAATTCAACTGTAAACACATAAATCCACTCTTCTGTAAAAGACCTATGAACATGCAAATCTAAATTGGATGTTGAGTACTGAAAGATTCTTTCTTATGTATAACAGCTTTTAGTAACTGGCCCTTAAAAAATTATATGATTCCCATACAAGCAGAGAAGATTTTATGTCTAAAAGTGAAAAATGGAAGAGAGAAAACAGACACGATTTGGGTCTTTTCCTGTTAGAAAACATCATATAATAGCAAAGAATTTATATTTGTTCATTTTTTCCATTGGCAGATTGAAAACAGTCCCCAGGATTTTGCTCTTCACCTTATTTTTGCAACAGGAGGTAAGAAAGCTTGATCGCACTTTATACCTGACTCTAGAGTGTTAATTTGCTGCCCAGGGAAAAGGCAGAATAGTTTACCTCATTCTGTGGAGAAAAGGGAAGAATGGGTAGGAGCAAAGGAAGGAGTGGTCTTTAGAACATTATCTATAGTCCACAATTTTAAAGAAAGATAACTTAATGGGTGTTGAACAATGAGAACATGCGGACACAGGGAGGGGAACATCACACACTGGGGCCTGGCTGGTGGGGGGATTGAGGACGGATAGCATTAGGAGAAATGCCTAATGTAGATGACGGGGCAATGGTTGCAGCAAACCACCACCATGGCAAGTGTATACCTATGTAACAAACCTGCACTGCACATGTACCCGAGAACTTAAAGTATAATAAATAATTTTTTTAAAAAAAGAAAGGTAACTTGGAGGGGAGCACTACACACTGGGGTCTGTTAGGGGCAAATGGGGGAGGGACGGGGGGTGGGGAGGTGGGGAGAGATAGCATGGGGAGAAATGCCAGATATAGGTGATGGGGAGGAAGGCAGCAAATCACACTGCCATGGGTGTACCTATGCAACAATTTTGCGTGTTCTTCACATGTACCCCAAAACCTAAAATGCAATAAAAAAAATACGGAAAACATTTCAGATTGCAAGCTAAAAAAAAAAAAAAAAGAATAAGGTATCCTTGAAGGGTTTTATTATGTGAAAGGGTTTGCTTGTCGGCCAGACATTAAATTATCTGAATGGAGATTAGAACCCTCTGGAATTGTTACGCACTTTTGTCTTTGCTCACCACGGTAACCTTCTTTTTGGCTTTCTTTTCTGAGTGTCACTCTTAGAGGAGCCATGATTGCACACCTGTTCTCTCTGACATTGATATTGCCTCTTTTTTAGCACAGGGTCTGATACATTGTGGGAGTGCTATCTCTTTCTCAGTAGAGATGCATGTTCAGAGCTTTGTGGTGGGGGTAAAAGGTTAGAACCGGAACAGTGAGAAGGCTCTATAAGTGGGATGCTAGGAGCAGAACATGATAGAGAGATTAGAGAAAAAGCGATATGGAAATGAAAGTTTTAAAACTTCACAAATAAAATATTTTGTATGTCAATTTGTAGAAAAACTCATGCTATAATTTAAGTGTCAGAATGTTGAGCCAGAAATTTATTAGAATAAAATAATACATTTTGACGCCAGAATGACCCTAAGAAAATGAAAGCTGTATCTCCAAACATATATAAAATTAAAGTTCTTATAAATTGAAGGCTTAAAGGTAAGATCTATATTTTGGAAAATTCTAAGGGCACATATTTATTAATATTCTAGTTGTTTAAGAAAGAAAGAAAATGAAAAAATTTAAAATAAATGGCAGCAATATTGAACTGTGTAACAATTTAAAAGATACAAATAGTAGATTATAAAGAATATTGCCAATGCTCTCCAAAGATTAATAACTATAATACCAATAATTTCCTGCAAAATAATAACAAAAAACAAATCAATAAAAATAGAAAAAAGCACGAAAATACAATTCAAAGAAAAAACTAAAATAACCAGCTAAACACTTTTAGAAAAGTCTTAAACTCAATGAAATGCAAGTAGCTAAGGAAATGCAAGCTCCAACCACACTGTCATATTATGTTGCACTTATCAGATTGGCAACATGCTTTCAAATGATTCTACCCATGGTTGGCATGCATCCGCATAAAAAGATATTTTCATGCAACATTGGTAAAAATATGACTTTCTCTTTTTTGGAAATTATTCTTGCAATATTTATTAAATTTTACAGTATACATGTCTTTAAACTCAGCCATTCCACTTGTGATAATCTATCCCACAAAAAAAAAAAAAATGAAAGCAAAACAAAGTTACTCATCCTAGGGAAATGATTAAATAAATGAATATTATGCTGCCATTGAATGGGATGAATTAGATTTATGTCAATAGAATTGAGGGAATTCCATAATATATTTTAAGTGAAAAATGTAAGATACCTAAAAGTATATATAAAAGATCCCATTTTTTAAACAAGCAGTTACAAGTTCCCATTTAAATATATGGTATATATGATCATATGACCAGGAAGAAAGGTATGGAATGATAAAAACAAAACCACTGAGATGATTACCCATTGGCAGATTGGGGAGATGCAGAAGAGAGGATGGGAAGGGGGCTGGCAAGCATGATGGCTCACACCTGTAATCCCAGCAATTTGGCAGGACGGGGTGGGCAGATCATTTGAAGTCAGAACAACATGGTGAAACCCTATCTCTACTAAAAATACAAAAGAAAAAATAGCGAAGTGTGGTGGAACACACACATTTAAAATATATTATGGACACTCAGGCGGCTGAGGCAGGAGAATCGCTTGAACTCAGGAGGCGGAGGTTGCAGTGAGCCAAGATTGCGCCACTGCACTCCAGCCTGGGCAACAGAAAGAGACTCCATCTCAAAAATAAAAAAAATGATTTTTTAAAGATGCGTACAATAAAAATAGCAAGCACGATATGATCACCTTTATGTATTATGCGTTTGTGTGTGTGCATAGAGTTGTGTGAAGAGGACACTCAAAGGGTAATGAGGAGTCTCTCAGGGCTCAGGAATTCCAGGCATGTTTGACTTTCTGCTTTATACCTTTCTCATTTATTCCAGTTACCATAGCATGCAAGTTTGGGGAAGGGGATTTTTTTTAAGGTTAAAAAAGCAGTTTTATTAAGAAGTCTTAAATGATTGTGTGGCAGCTTGCTAGGTTGTACAAGAAAAGATTTGAAAATTCCCCCTTTGAAGTTCTCCAAGAGTTGGATTCCATTCACGTGCACCTTGTTCCTTCCTCACACCTTTAACTTCAGCCTGCATTTGAGCAGAGATATGGCTTAGTTTCTTGCCGATCATTCTTGGGCTCCACACAGAGTGCTGGACCTATGAACAAACAAGCATGTTATTTTTATAAGCCGAAAATATAAGTCTATTTTCATTGCAAAAAAACGTAGTTCTTTATAATCTCACCTGTGAAAATCCCATTTTCTTTTATATATTGTGTCAAAATTTTGTATATATCCATAACTGAGGATGATAATAACTAGGACTCTTTAGGGACCAGAAAAAGAGGAAAGAACAGCATAGGGCTCCTGTTCAGGCAGTAATCTGGAAAATAGAGATAGATGGGTTTTAACTTTATATCTACAAAGCCCATTACAGTGTATCTTACATTGTAGTTTATTTTGGATTACCTATAGAGTTCATTTGAAATACAGATTCCCAAACCTTTCCATATCAGAGGACCAGTCTGGTAATATGAATTTTAAATAATCATCCCAGATAATCATAAAACAGAATCATGAAGCAAGAAACCATGCTAAGTTAAGATAAAAAACGGAACAAACTGAGGATGCTAAATCAAGTTAACATTGGACCTGAAGGTCAAAAGAGGATTCTGGTGGGTGGATGGGAGGAGCTAAATTGTCAAGGCTCCCAACTGCTTCAGAAATGGCAGAGGAATTAAAACAGTAAATACTGACACTGCGAGAACAGGAATGGGTAATGTCAGCTTAACTGCGGGGGGGCTGGGATTTTGAGTTCTAGACTCTCTCTTGACTCTTCTCCTGGGACATGTCCAGCTCAAGGAATCAGAACCGTTCTCACTGTTCTGAAGAAAGTCAGTAAAGGGAGGGAAAAAATGAAGAAAGATGATGAATATAAGGACACTGTGTTTTGTTCATGCTTCATTCTGACAAAAATGAAATCCCAGATGTGAAACTACTTTGACAGAAAGTTAGAAGTACTTTTATAGGAGGAGTTTTTATATTATAACTTTTGGAAATTTGAAGTTCTGCAAACACACCAGCTTGGAAGGTATTTTCTTTTTCTATACCATTTTCATGGCTGAATGGATGAAGACCACAGATGAATGAATAATATTATTGATCTCAAAAACCTTGGGAATATAAATTTAAAGATGAGCCAAAAATTTGGTGTGGGGTGAGACAAAGGAAGAATTGAAGATAAATACATGGTTTTGGACCTAAACAACTGGAAAGATGGAATTACTTCAACTGCACTTGGAAAGAACCAACAAATATTTGTTGTATGGGTGAAGGAATCATGAAATAAAAACTAAATAATTACTAAAGCATGCGACTTTATAAATGGCCTGTAAGACTGGAGATTTGTTTGAACATTCTAATCAAAGCAAGGTTGAGTTCTTTGAAATATTAAGTCAAACCATGAGATACAATAAGCGAAAAAAGTTCATTGACATTTTAATTTCAGTTTGCTTTTTAAAATAAACTGCCTCCTGCTGCTGGTGTTATTTTTTTCTAAGTAAGTTAAATAAGAAAAATGAATTGGAAAATTGTCTTCCTTCTTTTCCTCTAGCATGAACTTCTGATTGTGGTTGATTCTTGTTTTCACTCCAGAACAGAGACGACTAAAGAAGACAGATATTCCACTACTGCAGAGGCTCCTACAGGGACCCTCCGAAAAAAATGCTCGCATTTTCCTCATGGATAAAGATGCAGAAGAAATTAGCAGTGATGTATGAATCCCATCACCCTGTTTTTTGCTTCCCTTCTGACTCAGCACCTCTTACATAATTGTCCTGCTTTTTTTTTTTCTTAGGTTGCTCAGTACATTAATTTTCACTTTACTCTCTTGGAATCCATTCTTCAAAGATTAAATGAAGAAGAGAAAAGAGAGATTCAGAGAATAGTAACAAAGTAAGTCAAGAGCATGCACATTGGATACTTGGTTCTTTAATAGGTCCAATGCACATAACATGTCCAATTTTTAATAGTCTTTCTTCTCATTTTCAGATTCAATAAAGAAAAGGCTATTATACAGAAATGTCTTCAAAATAAACGGGTAATAAAAACAGAGACAACAGTTTAGCAGTACAGGCTGCTATTGCTAAAACACTTCAAAAAACTCAGAGAGATATGACTATTTGATGAGTGCATAAGTTCTGTACTTGCATTTATACGAATATATATGAGACTTTAATCTGTAGAAAATTGAATGTCAAAAAAGCTTGTTTCTGTTTGAAGTGATGAGGTTAACTAGGGTTCACAGTTGGACTAAAATGAGCTTCAGTTTAGTTTCAGTAACTGAAATAAGCTTGAATATTGTGCATTCCAAAGAGTTTTTATAGTAAAACTTGTGATGAACTCAAATTTAAATTGTGTCTTAAGCAGTGAACTTCAGTTAGCTTGGACTCTGAAGAGAACTGAAGCACAATCAATGGAGTCAGAAATGACTCAGGAAAATAAAGCTGCCAGTTCTTGAAATGAAAAAGAAATGCAGTTTTACACCATCAAGGAATCTATCTGATGGTGACAGTGTTTCACATCTTCTTGAAAACTCTGGCATTTTCATAAAATCTAGGACTACATTTACATGCCCTGTTGATTTCTGGCTATCTGTAACATCAGAGCTATCTGGCCTTTGGAAAGGAAAAGATTATGGACTCTGTAAAGAAATCCTAATTGAAAATTTCTAAGCCTCCCCTCAACCCTTTTTTTCTCTCTCTCTGCTCTACTGATGAAAGAACTTTCATCAGTTCTAAACTTTTCTTAAGCTCTTTTTTAAGTTAGTTGAATTTTTCTTTATTTTTCAAAAAATATGTACATCACATAGACATAGTACATCAGCTAAAGCAAGAGTTGGCCCACAAATACCTATTTGTTGCTGAATGAATACAATGGATAAAGCAAGGCTGTTGTAGCTGACGTTAGGTAGGGAATAACAAACTCTGCCCTCTTAGCATTTTCTTATCTAAATGACAACTCTCAAGGTACTTACAGATCTGCTTAACCCACCAAAAAAAACCCTCTAAGAATAAAGAAATGCTATAGGTATCATCTACGATTTTATTTATAAATTCTATATTAAAATGGAATTACATGTAACATTCTTTCATTCTGTAAACTAATTCTATTTGCATTCTTATAAGCAATGTAGTGAATTTTCTGATCATATTATATGTACTAAGGAATAAGTTTATATGCAATAAACCCAATTGAAGGATTAACTAATAATATTAAAATATGAAACATTTTTAAGACAAAGGCATTCCTTCTCAGTATTCAAACCTAAACTAGATGAAGGTGAAAATGTACTGTAGCCTTTAGGAGCCTAAGAAGTCTCTCTTACTGACTCAATCATAGGCTTGCATCTTTATTCTTTTACCTGTCAATTAATAAGAAAATAGTCTCCTCTCACTAAAATAAGGCATTTTTGTATAAAAAAAATTAAAGTAGTGTCAAGTACCTGCCATGAACATGATAAAAGATTAATCTTTATAGACTGAAAAGTATAAGAAAAGCACCAAGTCTTACATAGGAAAAAAAGGTAGATATGAAAAAAAATCACAGAAGAGAAAATGTAAATGGTACTAAGCACATGAAACAAGTCATATCTTAATAGTGATCAACTGTGTTAGTCTGTATCAATCAGGAGACAGAAACAATGCAGCATACAGGGAAAGTTTAATATACAGAATAGTTAAGCTATGATAGGAGAGAAAAATAAAGATGGAAGGAGAAGGTACCCTAAGGCTGAGAGAAAGAATTCTAAAAAGGAAAAGCAGGAATGAGGGTTTCAGAATTCACTGGAGAAGGTGTGGTTGCAGCCCACTGGAGAGAAATTTGCTGGCTTGCCCAGGCCGGTGCAGGACTACAGGTACCAAACAAGCAGGTATAAATAACCCTGTGGATGTGGACCAGCTGAGGCAGGTGGGTACATATGCAGAGGGACTTGGGGCTTTGCCAAAGGGTGAGCACAAAGGAGTCAGGGGAGGTGCTCCAGGTACTATTGAAACTAGAAGCCAGAGGGGGCTCCTTTGCAGGAACCTAGCACAACTTTAGGTGTGACTTGAGACTGAGCAAGACAAAGCTCAGGCAAGTGGGACAGTAGCTGGCCAGCCCATCATGGTCCTCTATATGACCGTGCACCCAGCTGAGGAGAAGGGATGGAGAACAGCAACTGGAGCTTCAAGACAGGATTGCATTGTGGTTCCAGGTGATATCACCACTGCCCAAAGCAAAAGCTGGAGAAGCAGGTGGAGTAATGCTGGAGAAAGCAGTCTGAAGTCACACGCAAAGTTGTGCTAGGTTCCTGCAAAGGCGGCCCCTCCTGCTTTTAGTTTCAATAGCACCTGCAGCACCTCCTCTGACTCCTTTGCGCTCAGCCCGGAGGAATCAGAAAAGACCACTTCCTCTTGCAGTGTGTCTCCAGCGCCCTCTACTGACAAAACATGACATCATGCAAGCTGCAAAGAAATATTTAAAGGATCTATTTTCACAGAGCACGCAACCAACAGTGAATTTGGAGCCGCGAGGCAGCAAAACAATAACTGGCATGCCAATTAAGTACAAAGTAAAATAAATAAATAAATAAATAAATACGTACATACACATTTTGGGCTATTAGCAAAGATTAAGAAATGATAACATTAAATAATAAATCACACGGAGATGGAGACAAGCTTCTGGTAAAAATACAAATGGATATGATTTTTGTTGAAGGCAACTTAGTAGTCCATTTATCCTATAATTCTACTTGTAAGATCCTAGCATGTGGAAATAACCAGAAATACAAGTACTTTTCTGCAAAGATATGTTTTACATTATTTATTGTGACGAAAGGAAATAAAAAGCCTAAATGTTCAGAAAATTATTCAAAAAGATGAAAGGGAGAAATAAGCCATGCACAGTGGCTCATGCCTGTAATCCCAGCACTTTGGGGGAGGCAGAGGCGGGCAGATCACTTGAGGTCGGGAGTTCGAGATCAGACTGGCCAACATGGTGAAGCCCCGCCTCTACTAAAAATACAAAAAATTAGCCAGGTGCAGTGGCAGGCACCTATAATCCCAGCTACTTGGGAGGCTGAGGCGGGAGGCTGAGGCAGGAGGCTCATTTGAACCAGGGAGGCAGAGGTTGCAGTGAGCCAAGATGGCACCACTACACTCTAGCCTGGGCAACAGAGCAAGATTCTGTCTCCAAAAAACAAACAAGAGGGAAATAAACGTTTATTTGTATAATGTTATATAGCCATTAAAATTATGTTTCCAAATAATTTTAATTATGGGGTAAATTCTTAGATATCTAAATAAGAATATACACATACACATATTCCAAAATATTTGTTATATAATTAAGGCATATATATTATGTATATGTAAATATAAAAAATATATTTATGTGTGTGAACACTAATATTTGCATATATACACACAAGAAACAAAAACATATTAAAAGTGGCTATACCTGCATTGTAGAATTATGAGTGAGTCATGTTTTTCTAATTTCCCTATATTTATTATGTGTTCTATAATTAATATTTGTTACTTTTCAAATCAGGAAATAGTAAAGTTATTATTTAAAAGTTGTCAACAAAAAGGAACAAGTACATGCGAGCACAGAATTCTACTTAATGCAAAAAAAAATCAAATCAATTTTTCAAATGAGACATTAACATCACTTCTGTGATAGTTTTATATCCATAAAGTCTTTGATTCTCTTCCTTTGAAGAGATGGAGGCTAATCCTCCTCACTTGCAAATGGGCTGGACTTAGCGACTTCTTTTTATTTTATTTTTAATTGGCAAATAATAATTATATGTATTTATGGGGTACAATATTACACTGTGATATATGTATACATTGTGGAATTCTTAAATCAAGCTAATTAACATATCCATTACCTTGTATACTTATCATTTCTTTGTGGTGGGAACATTTAAAAATGTACTTTTTAAGCAATTAGAGACTTACTTCTAACAAATATAGGAAAGTGGAAGAAGCTGAGACTTTGAAGAACAGGTCATAAAAGTCACTGTGGCTTCGTCCTTGCTGTGTCTTGGATCACTTGCTCTGGGGAAAGTCGACAGTCATGTCCTAAGCAGCCCTGGAAGCTTCTGTCAAATACCAGCAGGGAATTGAGGCCTCCTGTCAACGGCCATCTTAGAAATGGATCTTCTAGCTCAGTCAAGCCTTCAGATGACTGCAGCCCTGACTTACAGCTTAACAATAACTTCATGAGAGACCTTGAGCCAGAAAACCCAAGGAAACCATTCTGGATTTCTCATCCTCAGAAACTGTCTGAGATAAGAATTGTTTGTTGTATGCTGCTAAATTTGGGATAATTTGTTACATAGAAATATATAACTCATACAATTTCTGAGAAAAATGATTTATTTTAGAATCATTTTTGCATAATGAAAGAATATTAACTTGTCACAGAATCATTTATCCTTGTTTTAGGTGGTCCAAATATTTCATTGTTAGTTACATATTACTTCAAATTACATTATAGATAATATGTATTATTAATGGTAAAAAATGTGTCACATTCATCTTTTTATGTACTTTTCTGTACTTAATATTGTGTCTTGTGCATAGAATACAATCAATAAAAACTGATTGAATACATAAGTGAATGAATTAGTGAATGAAAGAATAAATGAATGAGTGAAGGAATTATCTGAAATATTTTTATAAAATTCCCTGTATATATGTATCACTTATTACAAGTCTGATCCCGTAGCTGAAAAAATATTGAACATTATATATATGGTTTGCCCTGATATAGTGGTATATTTTATTATCTCTTGGCTCTACTATGAAATATTCAGTTAGGTGTTACTGTTTAATTTGGTTTAGGGCTATTTAGGTTGGTGGTTTTTTTGTTTTTTTGTTTTTTAACTGAAGAGGAAAGAAGCCCCTTGCAATGCAATTGATGAAGTGGTAAAGATAGCAGGTATAACTATTAGGTAGAAGCATATAAATAGGAAAGAAAGAGAAATAGGATGTAGTTAGGGAGGGCAAAACCTTTTAATGACATTCATTTGTCTTCTAAATTAACAACATCTAATACCTATTAGATTGAGCCTTTTGCAATTGCCAATATTGGACCTACAAAGGCAATGATTTCATATTGTTCAAACTAATAACATTTATTTTCTGGGCACTATGCTTAATACTCATTACAATTCCATGTGGAAATTACTCATTTGACCTCATACTATAGATAAAGAAAGTAAACTATGGAGAGGTTAGGAGATTTGCCAAGGTTTTTCATAGAAGAAATAGGTAGGATTTAAACCTATGGCCCCAGAAGCCATACAGTTAACCACCGTAATCTGTGGCTTCCCCCTAAACTGTACCTCTTGAATCTGGCATTCCATAATGTGTACTCATTTTTAAAGTGTAATAATAGTACCTACTTCACTAGACAGTTGGGGGGTTATAAGAATAACACATGTAAAGGTTGGCACTCTGCACATAAGAATGTGATATAATCATAACTATGTTATAATTAAACTTCAGTAAATCCCCAAACGCCACTGTAGCCTTAACTTCTACTAAGTCTTATTGCCCACAGCTACTTCATTTTTGTCTTAAAACCAGCCAAACTGAATCACTCAGCTTTCTCTCTTTCTAGCACATCTCTTTTCTGTTTCTAGTCCCTGGTTAGGGTCACTTCTTCCATGACTTTTCCTCGTCTCTGTAACAGTGTGTGATCTCAGGCTCCTGTGTACCACAGTTTCAGTTAGCTCTGCTCTTGTGACACCAGAATTTTGAAATGTGCCTTTTTTCATAATTCTTTATATGCTTATATCTTGTATAAATGCATTAGTAATCTGGTGCATTCATATTCATGTTTGTATTGTTCCCTGTGGTATCTAGCACAGTGCATTGAATGGATTAGGTACTCAGCAAATGTGTGTTGATTTAATTTATTAATGCATATGAATGTGTCACTCAAGTGAGGAAAAATAATTACTGAAACTGAAGGAAAGGGTATTATAATGATAATTA